AGGGCATGGCTAACTCACAGATTGAACCCTGAAACAACCTCTGGGCTGATCTAAGTCAGGGCATGGCTAACTCACAGATCGAACCCTGAAACAATATCTGGGCTGGTCTAAGTCAGGGCAAGGCTAACTCACAGATCAAACCCTGAAACAATATCTGGGCTGATCTAAGTCAGGGCATGGCTAACTCACAGATCGAACCCTGAAACAATATCTGGGCTGATCTAAGTCAGGGCATGACTAACTCACAGATCAAACCCTGAAACAACCTCTGGGCAGATCTTAGTCAGGGCATGACTAACTCACAGATCGAGCCCTGAAACAATATCTGGGCTTATCAAAGTCAGGGCATGGCTAACTCACACATCAAAATCTGAAGCAATTTGTGAGCTGATCTATTAGTACGTCTACATGTAATTGTAAGTTGATAAGGCAACTGATAGATCATATTCAAATTTAGAAGTTGATTTTTCTGTAGAATCCAGAAGAAAAACCCTCACAACACAGGAGAGAACCAACAAACAACTCTACTCACATACTACACAGGAGAGAACCAACAAACAACTCTACTCACATACTACACAGGAGAGAACCAACAAACAACTCTACTCACGTACAACACAGGAGAGAACCAACAAACAACTCTACTCACATACTACACAGGAGAGAACCAACAAACAACTCTACTCACATATAACACAGGAGAGAACCAACAAACAACTCTACTCACATACAATGCCTAGAGTGAGGAACCAAACATGGGTGAGTGCTCTCACCACTACACCAGTCCCATGCATTCTTCTTATTTGTTTGTTTGACTGAATGCTATTCTATTTTTGTTTTCCAGTATCATACTAGACTTCTCTGTCATGGCATGGGCCTTTGGTAAAGCATCAACTGTCATCAACATCTGGCTTGTCATGAACATWATGGCGTTCCTCGTCTTTCCCATGTTTTACTTCTGGCATAAGAACAGCTGCTCCTGGCTCAGGATACCAAACAAAATATGGCTGATAGTCTATGTAGCATTCATTGTTCTTTTCATTGTTTTTCCTATCCAAGAAATCTGCTTACACGACCTTCCTCCCGTGTCATCCATAATTGTTTCTTGTGAACAGGTACGTTTTTGAGGTTAGAAAACGATGATAATGCTTATTGTTATTTTTCAAGTGGTAAACTTATGCTAACTGATTATRTATCAAGTAATACAGTTTTTTTTATATCTTACAGATCCGTTTAATTCTAAAAGTTCATGCATTTGTCAGATCCAATGCACCAAAAGTCATTGCAATGCAAAAGAAAACTAAAAAAGGTAATGATAATGATATAAAACAGAAAAAAAAGCCGTTCGACGATAAGGGCTATATATTTTACGGGGAGTCGGCATGGTTGCCCAATTACTGGTTTGAAATCATTCCCAAAAGAATGAAATAACACAAGACAAATCACGAATCACGAGAGACTAATCGCGAATYTTTTATTAAATTCATCCAACATGGTGGCTGTGAAAATCATCAATTCTCTTGAGCCAGCGGGGGTTCGTTTATAAAGTGCCCGAACGTGCACAGTTTACTCCAACAGACTATCAGTGCTTATTGCGGGTATTTAAAGCTTAAAGCTACACAGAACAGAGAGAAGTCAAAACAGACGTGGGGATCCTGGTTTGACAAACTGTAGTTTTGCCATGCGTGGAAAGTCCAACCTCGACTTGGAACTATTATTCGTGATCACTCAGCTGAGCTGTAAAATGGAGTATTTCGGGATTCAATGAAATTGGTGTCTTATTTTACTTACATCAAATGTACAACACCTTTTCATTCATCAAAGATATTCAAATTTCAATTTTCCTAGAAACCAAACCAAAAACTAACGAAAAAAGTTGTTTAAGGTGGCTGCCTACTTTTGAACGTTCGATTTGAGCCCACGATGTGCGCGCGTTCAAAAACCGCTGAAAAATCTAAAAGATTTTATTGAAGAACCATACGCGTTTTGAGCTTCAACAGGGCCAAAACCCCATCAAATTTTGCACGGAACTCTCTATTTTTTAATGTATAGCTCATTCGAAAAAACTYCTAAAAATCTAGGTTATATCAACATTTTAGAAAAGGTTTATATCAGTAACGCATGAAAAAATTAATTTTGTAGGGATTTTTGTTCGACTTTTTGAGATTTTTTAAGAGCACCGAAACTACAAAATATGACAAATCATGTATCTCTTTGTCTTTTTGTCGAAAATATTCATGTATTATTGTAGAATGATTGACTAGCCTTCCATTCGTGCAGTCATATAGCCTGCAAATAACTATTAYCTTATTAATCTTAATTTTTTTCTAATCACTTCGGTGACGCAATTTTTACTCCAAAAGCTCGTGCGTAGGCTTCCATTAAATGCTGATTATCTCGAAAACGAGCTCGGGACACCCTATTTTTCTTTCCAGATTTGGAATCA